CATTGTTGAGTCTCAATTCGTTGGATGTGCAAGGTCAACCGGTTGATTTAGAAGGAATCAAGGGTAGAGATAACTACATCACTTCTCAAGTTACTCTTGCTTATTGTCTTAAACATCATACAGGTCATTCTCATTACCTCAACAACATTAATTAGCAGCTCAATTTCTTAAGGTATAATGGAAGAGCATCTATCGAGCCCTAAAGGAAGGAAACAAAAACTAACCAAAACAATATAAAGAAAAGGAAGAGGACAAAGAGTGCATGTAAACCACATGGTTAGCTACATGGTTGAATGGATATCTAAATAAGAAAGTCAAATACCTAATTTCGATGGTAGGCTACCAGATTTGCAATGGGAGAGCCCACTACGAGTACTACCCAATGGCCCCAACTATATTTCAATAGGAAGTAACAGTTGAAAGCACTAGTGTAAGATCTGATGGTTTTGATGAACTTGTAATCTTCACAGCAAAAGACGATAACAAGGAAGACTTTTGTGGATCAAAAAGGAAAAGTTTGCTTCAAGACTTGCAGTCAACAGAAAATAAACAAAGATTCGATGGAAGGTTGGGTATTTATAAAGAAGGAGATTCGTGTTGTACTAAGAATCCAATGACCTATGAGACTCTTATACGATAATAGAAAACCCCAACTAATGGATTGACTAAGTAGCTAATAGAATAAGAGAATTAGAGAAGCAAAAGAAGTTTATGGAAATCGAACATTACATAAACCAACTTCTATAGAAGGAATATTGGTTATGAGACTTGCAAATTCTTTTGGGGTTTAGTTAACCAAGGTTAGCCACATGTCATGACATCTCCTCAATGCCTACAAGCTGAACAAGATCTCCACAAACATTCAAGTCAATTTACCATCCAACATGGATATCAACATTATTGAGGACATCGGCGCCACACCGAACTTCGTCACCTCGTCATCGTGGGGCATTTGTAGACATGTGAATTTTTTTAAGCCAGATAAATGGGCTTAATTTACATGACAGCCTCTAAATAATATGGGCCTCCATGGGGCCAAGGCCCAAGTCTACATAAATATGTCTTGGTGGCCTAAGGATCCAAGTGTATTAAGTCCAATTTGACCCATCTCCTATTGTAATAGGGTCGTTCCATAGGCAAGACCACTAACTCCTACATAATGGTGCATGTATAGGAGTTAATGCTAACCCAACACCCCACTCACATGGGATTGGTTAGCTAAGTGGGTTGAGGTGGCAACCTTAACCCTTGGCTATAAATAGCTTTGCCTATGAAGAAATATGGTTCTTTTTCCTTTTTGGAGAATCAGATTGCAAGAAGCTCTCACACACCAACACTTGAGTATTGAAGTTCAACAACTTCAAGATCAAAAGAGAAGAAAGAAGGGAAAAACTTTTTAGTACTTTGCAACTCACTTGGATTCAAGCTCTTCAAAGAAGATCAAGCCACCACAAAAGGGCCTTCTTAGAGAAGCATCCTTCACAACTGATCAAGTGCGAAGCCCGAAGTGAAGAAATCTACATCAAATCTCCCGAAGCACCAAAATCAAGGAAATCTATGTCAACACTTCAAGTATGAGGAATATGTCAACGACCCTCATCTTCACCAAATTTGACCTTCAATCAGAGATTGCTCACGTCATTGAGCAGAAATCAAAGAGAGTTCAAATCCTTTGTGTTTTTTATTACAAATTTATTTTTGTAATTTGTCTACATATTTTGTGTTAATTGAAATACACAAAATTTATGTTGATACTAAGTTATATTAGGTTTAGCACAGGTCAAACTTTTTTTTATTTGCTTGGCAAACACAAAAAACATTCTTTCAGTTCTTTGAAAAGTTACATAGTTCCTCACTTCCTCTACTAACAAATGAGTGCAAGATAGATTTCCCAACCATTCCTGAGGATTGGTCTGAGACCACTATTTTATAGTTGGACACATGGGCTTGGTTTGAGCCCATCATTAGATCCAACCAGGGTTCCGATGGTAGGGTGATTCTTCCCTCTGGTTTGATGACATTTTTGAAGAAGTTGACAAGTGGCACGTTGGTCGGATGTAGCTGTTTTGGAGTCAGCTTCATCTTCTCAAAAGTATCGTAGAAGATGATGTCAACTAATGATCTACTGCCAATGAAGATTCTCTTCATCATGAAATTGGTGATGGTCATCGACACCACCTATGTATCATCATGGGGGACCTAGACCCCCTTTAGGTCATTGTCCTGAAAGAAGATGACCTCGTCTTTCTTTGTCTTCTTGGGAGTTGGCCCCTAGATGTTGAGTTGCCTAGCATAGGCCTTTCAGGCCGATGCCAAGGCTCCACCCAAGGTCGTGCCCCCTACAACAACATCGATGACCCCGACCAAGTTGTTGTGGTGTTGTTGTTGCTATTGTGAGGACAAGGCGTCGGCATCACCCTTTACATACTCCTTCATGTGACCATGGTAGATGGGGGACTCGATTTCATCTTTGAGGTCGTAGCAATCCTCTATGTTATGGCCAATGCCGCTGTGGTACTTTCAATACTTCATTGGGTTACCCCTTTTGGGGTTCCTCTTCATCTTTTTCAGCTATTTCATGTAGTCCTCTTTCCCTACTTGCATGAGGATTTGCATTCGGGTGGAGTTGAGTGGTGTGTATTTATTGAAGGATGGGATTGGTGGCTTCTTGTCAGAGTCCTTGTTGTTGTTGTGGCCATGGCCGCGACTGTCTCTATCCTTTCTTTTCTTCTTTGACCCCCCTCGGCTAGGGTTAGCTTCACCTTCCTAGCACTTGCTAGCCAAGGCCTCCTACGCGGCAATGTACTTCTGTGCCTTCTTCAGAAATTCCACCTTGGTCTTGGGCGGTGTCTTGGCAACGGACCACTTGAAGGGTTTTGGCATGAGGCATTGATTGCTACATGCATTGAGACCGAGGAGTTGAGGTCTCATACCTCAAGTTCTTCCTTCTTGAAGTAGTCAATGTAGGGCCGCAAGCTCTCTCTGCACTTCTGTCAGATGTTCATGAGGGAGACGACTGTCTTCTAACACCTAGTGTAGTATCATAATCGAGTATAGGGGTCGGGTGTAACTTTTCAGTTTTGCCCATCAATCTCCAAGGTCCAGGGCAATACTGAAAATGTGGTCCAGTTCAAAGATTCAATTAATCCTACATTGTATGTGCCTAGGGTCTCACCCTAGTAGCTGAGACAGGCCACCCCAACCAACTTGGTGGCACAACAGTGTCAGCCTTATCAGGATAGGTCTCCCTAGACCAACCCAGTGGCTGTGAACATTCTAAATTAACACGAGTCTCATTAAGTGTCCAATTTAAGGGTATTACACAGAAACATACCAAGAGAACATGAATCAAATATGCACTTTTATTCATTTACAATAAACTCATAACGTACATCATTCTGATTGAAGCTAAGGGCATACAAAACTGTCCAACACTTATGGACCGAGGTGGGAGCCTGAAGAATCATCGGCAAGTGGCTCCCTTGAAGGTCGCTTGGAAAGCTTAACGCGTCAAGGCATTGGAATACCTGTAAAGATGCATGAGCGCTCGGAAGATTTCAAGGTGGTTATTCAGGTCGGTGGTTCTATCGTACATCTCTAAAGTGGGAGCCTTAAAGTGAGGTGGAAGAGGCTCCGATGTGGTGGAGTTCATGAAAGCGTCCATTTTGTTGGACGAGGGGTTCTAACTTGTAGAGGCATCACCTCATCCCTCCTTAACCTGCCAAAGTTCATCTTGCTTGGCGTTGATCTGCGCCTGTTGGTCAACAATCCTATGATTGATGGGAACCTGGGCCTCATCTTGGTCCTCTCAGACGCAGAACAGGTTGGACCCGTTACCAAAGTTCTCTAATGCATGCACGTCTTGGTTCCTTTGGACCTGTTAGTCGTTGAGGAGGTCGCAAAGGTCTAACACTTGTGAGGGAGAGGCGTGGCGTCGGCCTCCAGCCCTTGGAGAGGGACTATAGTGGCCAGAGTGTTCGCCTTCATCCTAGGGGCTCTCCACTTGGTAATGTTGTTCGTGGTCCCGATGGTTGTCGTGGGACCTTGTTGGATCTCCCCCTGCCCCCATCAACTGTGGTAAGGCAAGAGATCTTCAATGGCTGGCTGGCGCATCAGCTGCTACTATTGGATACAGAGGGGTCGGCTTTCTTGGGGTCGAGGGGGCATTGAACTAGTGGAGCATGTGTGGAATGTCCACTTTGATGCCCATGGTTCCCAGTAGGGTGGCTACCTTGAGGGCAGCCTCCTACGGGAATCCCACCTTGTCCAATCGTTGAGTGATGTTGTCGAGCTAGTTGAGGACCATTTTGAATTGGTCGATGGTGATAATGTTCTGAGTGTTTTGAATGTTGTCATGGTTATCAACCATTATGTTGGAAGTTTAGTTGTTCATAAAGCAAGTGTTTACTTAGGAGAAGTCTTAGCAATTGTTCCCATAGACAATGTCAATTGTTGCTGCTAAGGATGGGCCTGGAGCAACAATGTAATTATGCTTTAGTAGACGATGGCTAGTTGAGTCCGAGGGCTTCTATGCCCGACTTGTAAGCAAGGAAACACGTTAGAGGTTTCGGGTGTTATCCTAGGGGTGGAGACTCCAACAATCAAATTAGTAAGTTAGTAGCAAGGGGTCGGATGAGGCCTGAGTAAAGATAGCTGAAACGAGGTCATGAGAGAGTTAGGGAGCTTAGAGTAGTAAAAAAATATATATTATATATTTTGTTAGCAGTAGACGGCCAGGATAAGATCCGACCCATGTACATCATAATATATATTATAAAAAATATATAAATATATAAAATATTATATTTTAAATAATAAATAATATATTATATATTATAAATATATTTATATATAATATGAAAATATATGTATACGGGTCGGTTCGATTAATCGCCGATTTTCTATATTAGTTAACTGAACCAATACCTTCGGTTCGGTTCGGTTTCGATTGATTTTTCGATTCGATTCAGTTTTTCGGTTTTTCTTTGCTCACCCTATTTTTCATCGCAACTCCAATTCAAACCGTAGTGACCCCGTTTCGCGACGCTCAGAGGCGCACCTGAACGGATTTGCGAGAGGTGAATGACTCAACCCAAATCCGCAGCTCTGTACCGCTGAATTCTCATAGAGAGGAAGAGGTTTGTTGTAAGTTGTAACATGGGAGGCGATCGTAGCAGCAAAAGCAGTAAATCGAAGAAGAAGCATTTGGACGAGGCCAGTGGGTCTTCATCTTCATATTCGAGCTCAGAAAGTGATCGAAGTTCCGAGAATAGGTCGAGTCGACACCGGCATAAGAAGAATTCGAGTAGGAGGGAGAAGGAGAAGCACGAGAGGGAAGAAAGGCGCTGGAAGAGAAGAGAAAGGAGGGATAGGAAGGAAAGAAGGAAAGAGGAGAAACGGAGATTGCGGAGAGAGGAACGAAAACGAGCTGCTGAGAGAGATGATTCAAGTTCGTCTGAGAGTGATGAATTGGAGCTCCCAGAGTCTGAGAAGTCTCCTGAGGTCGTTGTCCGATACATCCTGGAAAAATTTCCTGATGTTGCTGATGACCTGAAACAGGTACAGTTATGTTCTTGTTCTTCATGTTATTTTCTTTTAAATTGAGGGCTTGATTAGTGCTCTGGTATTGATTTCGTGTTGGTTATAACATTTGACACATTTCTTATCTATTTAATATTAATATGCAGAGCCTTTGATAATTTTTATTGGCATGCCCAACAATGCTTATTGGTTTACAGTCGGTGGCGGAGCCAGGAATTTTCTTTTTGGGGGCCAAATTAAACAAGAAAATGAAATAGGGAATAGAAGAGGTAGGGTTTTGAAAGGTATGGGACGGGAAGGTTTGGGTCTATTACAGTTTTTTTAAAAGGAAAAATGAACTTCTTTTTTTTTTTTTTTTTTCAATTTTGGGAGTTGGAGGAGTGTTAGAGAGTATCTTAATATTTCAGTTCAAGTTTGTCATTAAGATTGCTAATTTTGGGAGTTGGACCCTTGGGTGATTTTTTTTTCTCTGTTAAAAGAGAGTAGCAGTACTATTTGAACCCTTGATGAATTCAGTTAACATAACCTCATTGCCTCTTCATATAATTTTGAGGATAGATATTTAACTGAAATCTAATTAGTCCATTTGATTTCAGTATAACATTTTTTTTTGGTCAGTTGTTATTAAATAGCGATAGATATTGGAGGGTTTGAAGCGAGGTTCAAAATAAGTTAAACTTGGCATTACTAGTATGATCTTGATTGTAACCTTTGTTATCATTATCACTTCCTGGTGCTGGGAAAACAAACTTTTTCTTCATTTTCTGTCAAAAGGCAGTTCTTTCCTGATACTGTCACCATGAATTAGAGTTACAGTTTCAAAGAAGAACATCTTCAAGAAACTGGAAGAGTGACTCTGACTGCCAGTTGCAAATGTTGAATACAAAACTATGATTTGCATTTTTTTTTTTGTTTTAGATGAGCAAAACTAGGATTTGCATTATGAGAAGGTATCATGAATTACAGAACATCATCAGTATCTTTTCTTCTTTGCATTACAAGTACTAGTTCTTACTCATCTTTTGGGTAATGGACATATTGTTGGTAACTTCAACTGAAATACTTTTTTTGATTGCTGTAGCTTTTACAAATGATTGATAATGGGCAAGCTGTTGATACCAGGGGAGTTTCTAATAGGTCCCTGGTTAAGCTCTTGAGAAAGCTATTTTTGTCCTTAAGCCTTAAAGAGAATAATGTAGGAGTATTCTTACTGCCTCCAACAGTTTGTCCTACTTTGGAGGTTGTTGGGCCTATAATCTCGTCAAGGACAGATCAGCAGATTTCTCATTCTGGATTGCAAGATAATACACAGTCTTCACGATCACTACTGAAGGATGACTCTCCTCCAAGAAGAAGGTGATAACACCTCTGTACTGTTTATTTTCTTTGTTTAATTTTGGAAACATGTGCAACATTTACCATGCTGAATAGATATTTTTTTTGTTGTTTTGAAACAATTCTGTCATTATTTCAAACAATATGTTCAGAGAGCATTTCAGGTTTACAATAGGTCCTATACAATGAGATGCTATACGTAGGAGAACCACTGACATTTCTGTTTCTTTTAAGACCATATAAAAGTCATATGGCATATGCAAAGAATAAAAAGTGATACTCATAGGTTTGGACTCCACCAAAATCCTTATCAATGGAAAACCATGATGAGATTGAGCCTATTGTCTTTCTTATGACCATATCTATAGGAGATTGCTTATTTTCAGATACCCTGGAGTTTTGCTTGGACCAAATTGCCCAAATTATGGCAGGAGGTGCTATCTTGCAAAGAGCCTGCCTTTCTTTCTAAGCTTTATCATGTACCATCCTTTAGTAGCCTGCTGTACAGACTGGAGGAAACACCTGTTTCCTGAACCCAAAAATTTCTAGGATGTCAGATCAAAGCTGTGTGCTGAGATTTCTATGCAAAAATAGGTAAATATACACCCTTCCATAAAGCACGCAACCAGGATCTTGATGCCCATGCTCTGATTAATAGTTTTTCTCTGGTGAGGCACTTATTAAGTTCAAATTCCAAGCCAAAAAGGAATCTTTTGAGGGAGCTTGGGGGATCCAGCCTTTGCCTGGAAAATCCCGCCCTTCAGCATTATAGAACCTTTGGAAAATGATTTCATTGTGAACGATTGAGAAGGATCCCATTGCCATACTTTGAGGTTACCATGACCATTTCTAGGTAGGTTATTCTCCAGTTTCAGCATAGGGATCAGGCAGCTCTCTGTGGGATCAATTTGTAGCACTAGTTTATCAATGCTTCACTAACTCTACAAATGCCCAAAAGGGATGGAAACAACTCTAGATGCCTTCCAGCATCTAAGATGCAAGGCACAGGTGAGGCATAAACCTTTTTTCAGCAACTGTAACTTTCATTAAAAGTAAAGTAACAGTAAATACAAAGAGTATGAGACTACTTGGAGATAAAAAAGCTTATCTCCAAGACCAACGAGTTTACAACTGAGCCCAAAATAGATGATCTCTCTTCCAACCCCTTCTTTTGCCAAAGAATCATCCATGCTGTTTGCTGTTCTTTGCACCCATTGTATTCTAACATCCATTTCCCTAGTTATCCGTTTAATACATTTTTCTACATCCATAACTCATTTCGTTTGTGAGTCACTTGATTAGTAATTGTGAGTCACCTTGAACAATCAGTTTATGCACATTCAGCTCATTTGCTCTAATTACCCATTTGATGACTGCCAATATTTCATCTAGGGGTGGATTCGAGCCGAGCCGAGCCGAGCCGAACAGTACCAGGCTCAAGCTCGAGCTTGGTTCGATCCAGAACCTTGAGCTCGAGCTCGAGCTCGGCTCGAGTCAAAAGTTTATAAGCTCGAGCTTGGCTTGGTTCGGCTCGTTTTATATTTTATAAAAATATTTATTATATATTTTATAAATATTTTATTATAAAAATAAAAATTATATATAAAAAAATTATTTTATATTTAAAAATTAAGAATTATAATCATTAATAATTATAATATTTTTATTATATATATTATTTTCTAAAATTTTATTATATATTTTATATATTCAAGCTGGCTCACGAGCCTCACGAGCCAAGCTCTAATAGGCTCGAGCTCGACTCGTTTATTAATCGAGCCACTAGATTGGGCTCGAGCTCGGCTGAAACCGAGCCGAGCTCGAGCAGCTCGTGAAAAGCTCAGCTCGTTGCCACCCCTAATTTCATCCTTCAAAGAATTGGCAATGCCAATCAGACCTGAATACAATGCCACTACATGTCCTAATTCATTCCTGAAAATTCCTCCTACACCCAAAGGGCCGGGGTTCCCTCTACTACTTCCATCAAAATTGAGCCTTATGTACCCTGTATCCGCATGTTTCCAGCATCTACTGATCTTGATTGATGTGTTAGCCACTTCCTAGTAAAATTTCCCATCGAGAAGTCAGAGGTACATGCCTTTTTGAAGCAAGGTGTAAATTTTTGCAAAAATAAAAAAGGTAATATATAATAATGCAAACCTTAATCCAAAGTGAAAATTTGGAAGTGAAAGCAAACATATGTGGATAATATTAAAGTGCTTCATGCACTCAACGTTTCATGCATGTGATGCATTCAATTTGTTTACTTCTCATAGTTGCATTACTTTAAGTAGCTAGAGTGTTGTTAGACATCTTGTGTTCACACTCCTATGAGATTGGCCCTTTACCTCCATAAAGGCCACTTGAGGTAAACCCATAAGAAGCCAATGTAGGTGTTTGGGATAGTGACTCATCCTACTTTTTTGGCCCATATTATGTAAAGAGATTGGTTTTGTGATTTTAGTAGCAATTCTTTCTATTTTAGGATTAGGAATCAGATATTAGTTGTACTATTGTTGCTTTTGTAGTGGAAAATTTCTAAGATAATTTTTTTTTTTGATCAGCAAAGAATTTATTTGTTTGTTAAAATTAAAACAGGTTGCAGGTTCTTTAGCTGCTCTGCATTCCAGAGGTATAGCAATATACAAAAGTCCCATATTACATGGAACAGCACCCTACTGTTGTAATGCAGCCAGCTACAGTTTTGCCCAAAAAAGAGTAGGTCTATGGACCCCCTGTTTTGCCAGGGTATCTGCTAATCCATTTGCTGTCCTTTTAACCCACTCAAATGTAGAGTTAAAACTCTTAAAAAGAATGCCTATCTCCTTGAAAGCAAACTTGTATTTATGTGGAGCTGAATTTACTTGCTTAGCCCAAGAAATGACCAAGAGTGAGTCCCCTTCTACTTCCAATTCTTTAGCTTTTAATTGTTCTGCTAATTTCAGGCCCTGTAGGAGTGCCATTGTCTCAACCTGAATTGAGTCTCCATGCCCAATTGTTTGAAAAGTTTTTATTAAGATCCTCTTTGAATGAACTAAGGTTCTACTTGTTTGAAAAGCTTTTATTTTTTCTTATTTTAATAGTTAATTTTTTTGAAAAGTTTTTTTTGTTTATTTTAATAGTTAATAGACCATTACTAGTATACAAACAGCAATAAATTAATTTAGAAGTTGATAAACTATCACAAGGGCTATAATGGCTCTTTGGTTAAATCACTGCACATATTTGATCAATTTACAAATTACAACTAATGATATCATCATATGTTGGCATTCTGTTGCTAACACATCATCATCAAGGGGCCCTACCATGTTAACTTGGCATCCACCAATGCAAAATATGATCCAGATGAATTTTGATAGTTGTAGTTTGGGAAATTCTGGATCTTTGGGGATTGGAGTATTCAGAAGTTGCAATGGAATATTTTGGTAATCTTTTCTGGACCTATTACTAATGAAAAGCAATTAGAAAGACATGAATCCACAGGAGAAAATGCACATTAACAAAGGGGTTATAAGGTAACTCATGCCCCTCTGGAAGATTGAGGCAAAAACGTTTGTCTTGGGAGAAATTTGGACAAGAAGAGGAATTACCCTGAAGGTAGTGGAGCTGAGAAAAGCTTTGCTGATTCTTGAAGAGAAAGCAATCTCCTGGTTTTAGGGATTCCTGGAGGGAGTGAAGAGAACTTTGAGAACAATAGAATGGAAGTGTAGTCTTGTGGAAGAGGGAAGAAGATATTCTGATGAAAGAAGAGAAAACAAAAAAGCAAGATTTGTTGGTATCTACGATTATTATGGAGAAGGTCTAAAACAGTTCACTTGCTTCCCTGAAGGGAGAGAAGCCTCGGGTTGGGGTAAACTAATACAAGCAATGCAGGACTTTCTGGTGTTAGTGTATGAAGATGAAGTTCTCCAATCAGAAAGGAAGAGGGTCAGAAGAAACTTCAAGAGAGGATGGAAGAAACAGACTGGAAGGAAACAGAAAAAAAGGGAATCAATACGGATAAGGATGTTCAGATTGATGCAAGTTTAGGGTCCATGAGAATGTGTATCAATAAATCCAAAACAGAGTGGGAGAACAAATTAGTTTTATCCACGAGTAAGGATGTTACAGATTGGAAAACCATGGGTGAAGAGATTCAACAAATTTTGAAGGTATCAGAAATTTTGCAGATTATTCCTATTAATGGGCAGAAGGCTGTTGTATCTTGTAGAAATCACTGGCCGGATTTTGAAGCTGTATCGGAAGTGTGATAGAACAAGAATTGGAAGAAATTGATTTCTTTCTATTGAGAAAATAGTACATATATACAACCTTGTAGATACTAAAAAGGAAGAACATCATACAACCTTGCAGATACAAAAAAGGAAGAAAATCATACAGCCTTGCAGATACTAAAATAGGAAGTAAATCAAAGAAAGAATAATTCCTAATTGGGCAAATACTACATATTTACAGCCTATAATTTCGTAACACTCCCCCTCAAGATGGAGCGTAGATGTCAATCATGCCCAGCTTGTTACAAATATAAGAAATCCGAGCTCCATTAAGAGCTTTTGTAAAGATATCTCCTAACTACTCTCCAGTCTTCACATATGCTGTAGAGATCAAGTTTTGTTGAATTTTTTCACGAATGAAATGACAGTCTATCTCAATATGTTTAGTTCGTTTATGAAAAACTGGATTCGAAGCAATATGAATCGCAACTTGATTATTGCACCATAGCTTCGCTGGAACTGAGACTTTAAGACTGACCTCAGTTAAGAGTTGAGAAACCCACATAACCTCACACGAAGCTTGTGCCATTGCTCTATACTCAGATTCTGCACTAGATCGCGACACCACATTTTGCTTCTTACTCTTCCACAAACCAGATTACCACCAACAAAAACACAATAGCCAGTAGTGGACCTTCGATCAATCTTGGAACTTGCCCAGTCCGCATCAGAAAAAACACTCAATATTACTGTGACCATGATTCCAATACAGTATCCCCCGTCCAGGAGCTCCTTTTAAGTAACACAAGATTTGCTCTAAGGCTTTCCAATGATGCACTGTAGGAGAGGACATAAATTGACTTACAATACTAACTGAGTAAGCAATGTTTGGACGAGTCACTGTGAGATAGTTCAACTTTCCAAGTAATCTTCTATATCGTTCAGGATCATCAAAAGCATCTCCATCCTTTGTGARTTGCTGGTTAGGAAGCATTGGAGTACTGCATGGTTTGACTCCCAGTTTCCCAATTTTTGTTAACAGGTCCAAAACATACTTCCTCTGAGACAGGAAAATGCCTCTTTTACTCCTTGCCA